CCCTCTCTTTCTTTCTCTCAACCTCACCCTCTCCAAGCACCTCATAGTTTTTGCTCTGCTCCAATATCTCATAAATCTGGTGAACAGAAACAATCATTACTTGCAGTTGTTTACCCTCTCCTTCTCTCCGATTTCTGTTTCCTATGAATACGCATTTTCCATAAGCATTCTCAGAGAAAAACTCAAGAACTCAAAACCATGACTTCCAACAAAAGCAACCTCTTGAATAATTTCCTCTTCCATTTTATTCTTCTTCTTTTCCCAACACTACTCCAAGCTCTTAACACTGATGGTGTTACTTTGCTCTCTTTCAAATATTCAATCCTCAATGATCCTCTCTCTGTTCTACGCAACTGGAACTATGACGATGAAACACCATGTTCCTGGACAGGTGTCATCTGTACAGAGCTTGGGAATCTAAACACACCAGACATGTTTAGAGTTACAAGCTTGGTTCTTCCAAACAAACAGCTTCTGGGTTCTGTTTCTCCAAGCTTGTTTTCAATCCCAAATCTAAGAATCTTGGATCTCTCCAACAATTTCTTCCATGGGTCACTTCCGGATTCAGTCTCCAACGCCACTCAGCTTCGTGTTCTGTCCCTTGGGAACAACAACGTTTCTGGTGTATTGCCTGATCGTATCAGCAACGCGGCTAGTCTCCAGCTCTTGAATCTCTCCACGAATGCCTTAACCGGCAAAATCCCTCAAAGTCTCTCACTTCTCAAGAATCTGACAGTTCTAGATATCTCCTCAAATCTTCTAGACGGATTACTTCCTCTGGATTTCGAAGGAACAAGTCTACATTACCTCAACTTATCACACAATCAAATCTCCGGCGAGATATCTCCAGCTTTCGCCGAGAAAGTTCCAGCAAACACCATTGTCGATCTCTCCTTCAATAATCTAACAGGGCCAATCCCTAGTATCCCACCATTGCTTAACCAAAAGCCCGAGTCTTTTTCGGGTAATCAAGGCTTGTGTGGGCAGCCATTAAAGACTCCTTGTTCGATCCCTTCTACTCTCTCAGACCAACCGAATATCCCTGAGACTACTACTTCGCCGGCAATAGCAGTCATGCCCAGAACTTCAGCTCCAACAACGCCTTCATCAGAATCACTCAATCAAACAGCCAAAAGCAAACTAAAGCCAAGCACCATAGTAGGAATCGCAGTTGCAGATATAGCTGGTCTAGGTATCATAGCCATGTTCATACTCTACATATACCAGCTCAAGAACCGCAGAAGCTACCAAGAATACAGCACTTTCAAAGTCTTGAAAGAGTGTCTAGAGAAAAACGATACATTAGCCGTAAAGAAATCGCCGAAACAAAGCGTATCCGCATGGGAGATCACTAAATCTCCAGCTTCAAAAACGCGATGGGGCTCTTGCATAAGGTACGACGACACAACGACGGCATCATCCGAATGCAATAACTCCGAGAGCGACATAGAGAGCCAGCTTCAGGACCAGAAGTTCACTGAGGCATTCAATCGAACAGATGGTGGGCGATTAAAACACAACTCTCAAACTCAATTAGTGACCGTCGACGGAGAGACTCAGCTGGAGCTCGATACTCTACTAAAGGCATCAGCTTACGTACTTGGAACGAGTCGAAGCGGAATCGTGTATAAAGCGGTGTTAGAGAACGGCGCGGGTTTTGCAGTGCGGCGGATCGGAGCGGAGAATTGTACGGCGACGAAATTGAAGGAATTCGAAAGGGAGGTTCACGCCATTGCTAAACTTCGACATCCAAATCTCGTTAGAGTTCGTGGCTTCGTTTGGGGGAACGAAGAGAAGCTTCTCATCTCCGACTATGTCCCAAATGGAAGCCTACATTTCTCCTCCATCTCCGGTAAGTTTCCATAAACGGCGTACGTTACTGTATAATTGCTAAAACACGCTTCACCAACTGGCGCATTTTAGCATCACTCAAATCCAAAAATTATGACTTTGATTTTGAACCATGATGATGTTTGATTTAGCATTTATTTTGTTTTGATATGGAAACAGCAAAAGCAGGCTCGACTTCGACAATTTTGCAAAACCCTCTCTCCTTTGAGGCACGGCTCAAGATAGCAAGAGGGATAGCTCGAGGAATTGCTTACATCCACGACAAGAAGCACGTGCACGGGAACATCAAGCCCAATAACATTCTTTTGGATTCCGAGTTCGAGCCCGTAATTACAGATATGGGCCTTGACCACCTAATGAGTTTGGTTCATTCACAAGACCATCATCATCCACCGGAATGGTCCATAAGTCAGAAACCAAATTCCAAATGGGATGTTTATTCCTTTGGTGTCATACTCTTGGAGCTTCTTACAGGCAGAGTTTTCCAAGTTGATCGAGATTTGGTTCATGATCCGGAGACCGATGAGAAAAGTTGGTTTTTGAGGTTGATCGATGGGACGATTAGGGCAGATGTTGCTCACCGCGAGGATGAGGTGGTGGCATGCTTTAGGTTAGGCTATGGTTGTGTCTCTTCCTTGCCTCAAAAGTGTTTGTCCATGAAGGAAGTGGTGCAAGTGCTAGAGAAAATGTGTGTTTAGATACTTCCTTGTTCAATTTAAAAGCCAACATAAATTTCTTGTAATGCAAATGAGATTACTTTGCCTTTTGATTTTATTGCTTGTTTGGGATTATATATATATATATAAA